GTTGAGAGTCCGGGGACAAAAGATGACATTTTTTCTGATCGAGATAATATCGTAAAAAGCGTTATGACCAGGGGTTCCATTGTAAATCCAACAGCCGATGGCTCAGCAGCTGTCTAACCACAACACTACTTCCCTGCCGACCTTGAATTCGAACATCCGATGTTTTAGATAAAAGAACAATCAAAAGCAATGCAGTAGCTAGACTTCAAGGAAACCTTTTTATGGAAACAGTGCTGCACTTTTGATTTCAATTGAACATCTGAAAGAAAACTGCAGTCTCTGAAGGAACAAGCACAGGTTTATTCCATGCTGCAAAGAGAAGAAAAGAGACACAATGTTTCGGTTGTGGAGCCTTCTTCAGGTGTGGAGAAGAAGGCTCCACAGCTGAAACGTCTCTTTTCTTCTCTTTGCAGGATGGAATAAACCTGTACTTGTTCCTCTGCAGCCTGCATATGCTGACGCAGCTCCCCACTGTACTTGAACTTCTTCAACAGTAGTCTACGTATTCGAATAAAGGTTTTAAGTAATTAACAACTTCTTTTTTTGTTCTATACACTGGTTTATGCCGATGCACAAAAACCTGACTAATAGGAAAATGCAGTTCAACCCGTCCTGGCTTTTTAAGTCATCTGCAAGAACGCTGCCTACATGCACACAGCTGCTCCTCGTGAATTTGCTCAGAACTACCTCCCAGGATTAAATAAAGATAAGCTCAAACGATTTATTTCTGCGTCAGCAAAATAGATGGCCTGAGCACGTAACAAAAAAACAATCAAGCCAATAAAACACAATCCTGCACAAGGGATGTACACTTCGACTTAGTCAGAATCCAGAACTTCATTCTGCGGCACACACCGCATATACAGTACGACATGACGTGAAAAATGCCAACCGCTTCATACACTGGCTCCTTATTCAGCTGAACCCCATAAAAGCAGGAGGCTGTTACAGACGGAAAATCTTGTCGCGTTTCTATCAACCCATTTTCCAGTCCAAAGACATGCTGGCAGGTTCATTGGCTTCTGGGGAAACTGGCCCTGGTGCTAGCGCCTGCCAGTTTATGTCCGTGTCTGTGTGCCCCCTGCGCTGAACTGATGTCCCACCCTGGACCCCCACAGCCCTGAACTGGATAAAGCAGTTTGAAAGTGAATAGGGGCAAATGCAGACACACAGGGGCAACGTAAAGACACCTCTTAACTGAGCCAGCGCGTCTGTGGGAAGTGGGTGGCACACAAAGCAGCTGGAGAACAGGCAAGACCCCACACAGGAGGCACACAGGGTCAAAAACCAAACACAGTTCAGCCAAGCCCGTTCTGGGATCCCTTGAAATGAAGTGTTTTATATTTGCTAAATATTAATTTGACTTGATATGGATGTTGGCTGGCACAGTCGTGCAGCTTTGCTACCTCAAACGTCTTGGGTCCTGGTTCTTCATTCTGGTCCGAGAGACGCTCTGTGTGGAGTTTGCATGAGGCCACATGGGTTTTCACCAGATGTCTCTGGTTTCCTGCCTCCTGGACATGCTGTCTAGGTGACGTGGCACCCCTAACTTACCTCCATGCATGTACCCTGCAGTGGACTACACGCTTATCTGCTGGAGTGCCATCCCTCTACTAGAGTAACCACAGGTTATGAGTCAATTTGCCACCCCCCAGTAACAGGGCTTTGCCACCAACCAGAATTGAAAATGTGTTCTACAAAATGAGCATTTCTGTATAGAAAATTTAGATTATTTTCTTTAACCTGAGCCTGCATACAATGGAGAGGTCTGATCATGCAAACACATACTTCTTAGCCCCTTCCTTGCTAGGCAGCTGCGAGGGTTTTAGATAAAAAGATCACCTGGGCTGTCAGCCACCTGTGCAGAACCTGATGCCGTCTGAAAAATAGTGTCGCACTCCGGCTCACAATGCAGAGGAGGCAGACGAAGCCTGGACACTGTGGGACCTATTCTTGGCAATGGAGGCATTACAATTGGATGTGAACTCTGTGGAAAGGCCAAGGATGGACACTATAAGCTTCCTGTCCACTGGTCAGTCACACAACACAACACCCAGAGAGTCCCGTTGCCCTCGCCTGGCAGCAGGGTGACCTCCCCAGCACACGTGCCCAGTCTGCCACTTGGCATTCCTGACGCTGTTCCTCATTCCTCTCCATTGTCAGTCAGTCCTCCGGGACTGCATGTGGGCCTTCGGGGCCGAAAGGCAGCAACACAGTCGCCGTTTTTCAAGATTGTGTGACTCCCTAACGAGCAAAAACAAATAGGCAGCTACAAGAGCAGAACAGCTCTTTGCTAAGCAAACTTCATTCCCTCAGCACTAGGCTAGAAAGCTAGAAATGTGCCTCTCTCTCAGGTTCTTTCCTGTGCACAGGGCAGGAGAGCCTAACCATGGACAACGTGCACAACTACAGTCAGGATCCAGAGGATGGTAGAAAAAAAAAACCCTGCACAGTGAAAGCAGCTCACTTTTGACATTGTAAGAACAGCGCAAAGTATTTCAGAGCAACTGAAGACAATCTTGTACACCGACAGATAGAAAACGTGATTACACATAAGTTAAGCATTTGATTAAGAGCACACTTACACCAGAACCAAACGCAAGCACTGTGCTAGAGAAGCAGCACAACTTTTTTAGAAAATGCACCAATGCAGATGCGAATGACTGTAATACGTTTTTCTGTATCACGAGCTAAAAGGGATGGAAATAAAATCATTGCATTGAGTTGTGTTTGAAGAAGGTTTTGTATAAATATTAAGACGCACATAAAACTCACTTCAAAAGCTTAGACGATAACAGTGATTGACAAGAATATTTGCTCCAAGGCCCAATACACACTACTTGTACCAATATTTTTTTTAAATCTGGAATGCAGATAAAATCCACAGATTTACAACATCACACTCCGGCTTTAGTTTCCTACCCTATCTGGTGAAAGTCGGATAGTCTATACTTTTCTATACTTTAATACGATTAAAACCTACAAGCAAACGTCGCTCCAAATACGAGTTTAATATTAAATTGTGAACTGACGTTTACATGCACGACTTGCTCTTGTAAAACTACTATCTCACAATACAAAGAACTAAACACGGTATTATTTTTCTACTCTGTCATCATCAGCCTTGGTTCAGACAGGATCATCTGGTTTCACGCAAAAACAAAATAGAGGAAAGATTGTTTTCAGCGTTTGTAAATTTACACTGTAAGGAGGACGCGATTCAATATCGTTCCTCACATTGTTGCTTTTGTGCCTCTCTTTCTCGAGTTTATAACAGGGAAATATACAAAACTCACATTAGTAACATCGTTCGTTTAGTCTAATGTCCTATCAACTCAGCTCATACCAAGATACCGTCCTGGCTACTACAGAGCAACCACTCACTGCAAAGAATTACACACAAAACCCTGAGAAAAATCACACTAGATAACGCCGTACAAAACAAATGACCTTTGCTTTATTACTATTCGTCTACTGGTACCCACAAAACTCTTACACTACACAAATCCTCCGGCAAAGTTGCAAAAATATTTGACTCATGTTTTCCAGCCTCTGGGTCTTTAGTTCATTCTTGCGATTCTTTTACTTCTGTACTACTCAGTTTAACTTTAATTTCATTATTGACGTCTATAGCCATCCTTACCACTGTCCAGCTTCACGATCTGCGGCAATCGGTAAGCACTGACCAGTCGGTCTAGGGGCAGAGACGTCGTGCTCCATGTCACATCTTTCAGATTGTTATAGAGCGTTAATCCCGCGTCCATGTTTGCCGAGAATTGAACTCGCCGCAAACACTCATTTGAAGCACGCCATAGCGTCCGCGCCGGTCCGGCTGTCTCTTTCTCCTGCCTTTGCGGTCCCAAGACTTTCAGGAGTTATCCAGCCCTGGCTGTCGCTGTTGACAGGAAACGCCATGGAATTACAGTGGGCAAGAGAGTGAAATAAAGGACGCCTGCGCACAACCGAAGACACCGCCTCCCATCCCTCTCTGCAGCCTCGAAGCAAACGCGCTTTGCCCACAGACAGGCTAAGAGACAGGTCTTTGGGGTTTTTT